TCGTACAGATTAGAAGGCATGGATGGGAAACTTGTAATGCGACCATGGAATGTTATGAATTTAAAGAAATATTACTCTTGAAGTATTCTCTCCCTCAAGTGCTTGCCAACGACAAAGATAAAGGGCAAGGCCCTGGGGGCAGAGTTCAAGGACTCCTGTCCTCGAAGCAAACACAGGAGCGAGCCTCCTGCAAGGGCAAGGCCCTGGGGACAGGGTTCAAGGACTCCTGTCCCCGAAGCAAACACAGGAGCAAGCCTCCTGCAAGGGTAAGGCCATGGGGACAGAGTTCAAGGACTCCTGTCCCCGAAGCAAACACAGGAGCAAGCCTCCTGTAAGGGTAAGGCCCTGGGGACAGAGTTCAAGGACTCCTGTCCCCGAAGCATATACAGGAGCAAGCCTCCTGGAAGGGTAAGGCCCTGGGGATAGAGTTCAAGGGCTCCTGTCCCCGAAGCAAATACCGGAGCAAGCCTCCTGCAAGGGCAAGGCCCTGGGGACAGAGTTCAAGGACTCCTGTCCCCGAAGCAAACACAAGAGCGTGCCTCTTGAATGGGCAAGCAGCCCCGAAGACAGTTCCAAAAAAAAAAAAAGAGAGCAAAACATTACTGTACGCAGAAAAAGAAAAAAAATACTCATGATTTATTTCAAGAAGAAGGGGCTTTGCGTCCCCAAAGGCTACAAAAGAAAATAAAAGGGGTACAATCAAAAAGAAAAAGACTTTCATCTGGCTCCAGGCATCTCCAGAACATCAGCCGAGGGCGAGTCGGCAAAAAATGGTTGAGAAGCTTCTGGAGCAGGCAGGAGAGGTACCTCAGCAACAGGGAGACTTTGGGCATCTTGAGGATCAGGAGCATGGTCCGACGGGGCGTCCTCGGACAAATCCACTATCACTGCCTCGGGCGGATCCGCCGAGACTTGCACCGGCGTTGGGACCTCATCCTCGGCAGCAATTTCTGCTTCGGCCCGTGCCATCTCTGCCGAGGGCACGTGCCATCTCTGATGGGATTCTAGCAGACTGGAGCGCCTCGTCTCACCCTTTCTTGAAGAACTCCTTGCTGTTTTTCTCAAGAGCAGGGATACGTCATCGGCGAACTCTTCCCGAAGTTGCTCCTCCGATTTTCTGTTCTGTGCCTCGGCTCTGATCTTGTCCAGCTCCTGGGTGAGAGCCAGACAGCTTTGCTCTGAGCCTACCGCCCTCTCCTCCGCAGCAGAAAGCCGCCGCGTCTGCTCGGTTATCCTCCCCTCAGCATCGGCAAGGGCAGCGCTTAGCTTTTCAGCGCCAACCTTAGCCGACTCGGCATCCTTGAGGAGTTGCTCGATTTGAGCAGCCTGCCCCGCCAGGGTAGAGTCCCTGGCAGCTACATCCTCCATTGCTCGGGCGAGGGCCCCCTCCGCCTCTTCTTTCTGCTCTCGGGCCCTCTGGAGGTCCATCCTAGACTCGTGGTACCGGGTAGCTATTATGGATATCTGCTGGGTAGCCTGCAAAGGAGGGAAAAAGGTGTCACAAAAGTGGAAAGAAAGAGAGAAGAAACCAAAGCAAAAATGAGCTTACCACCAGGGAATTCTGGATGATGGAGCGGAACAACACGTTCGTTGAACGCCCCCTGTGAGCCGCCATGTCAGCCTCGAAATGCAGTGTCTCACTCACTGCATTGGCGACATGAGGATCCAGCAAAATGGAATCATCGACCCTGATCACTCGGTTCATATGATCAGTGGCTCGGGGATTCCACTCCGCGGCCTCCATTGTCAGCGGAAGGGAAGGGGGAGTCTGCTGCTGCTGTTGTTGCTGTTGTCGTGGCTGTTGCTGCTGCTGCTGCTGTGTTGTGGAGGAGCAGGGGGTAACCCACGGCCTCTCCCGCTTTGCTGCTGAGCGGAAGGTGCCCTGGATCCCCGGCCGAGGCCATCGTGCCGATGTTTGACCCTTCTCTCCTCCTCTACCTGAGGATCCCGGTCACGCACTTGACCTCGGCTGAGAACTCTTGAGGATGGGGTGGAACTGGTCCCTGCAGAGGGGGCGCCGCCGGTCGATCCTCGACCCCTCCCGGCTGCTAGGGCTTGCCTCTGCCTCAGGAACCCCAGGTTGATGCGAGGGGTGCTGGACATCGCGACCTCGAGGGCGTCCTCGGCGTCTAAGGATTGAAGAACTTGGAAGTCTGGCCACAAGTCTCCTCCCGAAGTCCCCACCTCGGCGTCCGAAGGAACAACGTCCTCTCTGACCCCGAGCTTCAGCAACTCCCTCTACCGCTGCCTCCGAAGCCCGATCCGGGTCTTCCTCCAAGTTTTCCTCAACCTCTAACCTCGCCGCCTGATCGAAGAGTTCAGACCACCGCGAAGGCTCAAAAGGCTGAGGAAGCTGTGAAAATTTCTTATACCCGGGGGTATAATTCAGCAGGACGTGGGCAGCCCGGCCAAACCCGTCGTCACCCGTGAATCTCCAAACCGTGATTAGGTCAGCAAAGTTCACCAGCGACCGAGGGGGAGGAGCTGTTTCCCGAGCAGGAATATCTGCACAAACAAAAAAGTAGTCATGAACATGGGAAGTCTGGAGAAAGAAATAATAAACCCAAAGAAACCGACGTACTTGTCGTTCTCCATTCCAGAGGGCATAACAAGTCATTATACTCGGGACCAACACCTCTCTGCCAAGATCCCTTGAAGATAAGAATATCATCCTTGTACCCCTTGTCCGAGTCGGAAAGATGAGTTACAAGGTACATGGAGGGGTCCCTGGCTTTGAGGTAGAAGTGTTGGTGAGGCATGACTCTCAGGAGGGAATAACAAAAGAGGAGATCGTTGAACCCAATATTTACCCCGAGGCGCCTATTGAGCTCTAAGACCCCCATAATTATTCGGAAAACATTAAGGCAACATTGCCCGGGGAAGAGGCGGAAGTGAGACAGGAACTGAAGAAGTAAGGGGGGTAAAGGAAACCTAATTCCTCCCTCTATTATGGCCTTAGTATAGAAGGGCATGGCATCCTCGGCCCCGAGGGTTGAAGAGTGCACCACCGGGTCATAATCCTCTACGTCTACGCACGGGGAATGTCGTACTTGACCTTAAACCTATCAATCTGCTCACCACCCTTTACTTTATATTTGCCCGACCCCAAAGAACCAGCCTGAGGATTCTCGGGAGCAGGGCGACGACGAGGCATCTCTAAAAAAGTGAGAAAGAAGAGGGTATTTGTTCTTGGAAATCCCTGAGGAAGTTTCCCGAGGGTTAAATCGCTACGTATCAACCGGAGACACCTCCAGTCATCGGAAAACAAAAGGATAGGAGGAAGAAAAGAAGGAAGATACTGGAACTCACCCGAATGTCAAAACGGAGTTTTTTCTGGAAAACCTTAAAGCGACTCCTCCCAGAAAGTTCAGAAGCAACGATGGGTCTGCTGGCTTTAAGACTTTAAGGAAGAATGGGCAATCGACGATGGAAGAAGAAACAAATCTCCGGCGAAGATTCAAGAAGAGGCTCTCTTGAGGAAGTTCGGAACGGCAAAACAAGGAAAACGGAAGAGGAGACCCCTTTATATAGAGGCAATTTTCATCATTGGGCGCGAAAAACGAAACGGCGCATTTAATGCGCACGACATCCCAAGCCAGGGAAAGCGGCTCGAGGCAATGATGAAGTACTGGTGGTAGTTGGGAAACCCTTCGTCTCCTTACGACGCGTGTCCTCGGTGTCAGAAGATCGAAGGCTGGGGGGCAGTTGATGGGACTTTTCTGAAATACTCTGTGATGAAGACACGTGTCCTCGGTATTACTAAAACACCATCGGCGCTAAGATCAAGCACCATCGGCGCACAAAGCCCTCGCCCCCGATGTACTCGTCATATAGGATCATACATTCAGTATGTTTTACACCGACACGTGGCCTCGGTCTGATATGGTTCCTCGGTCGGTGTCCCTACCTCGGTGCCGAGATGATCCTTCCCTCGGTGCCGAGGAGTACCCGTCCAGGACGCCTCCTCTACTCCAGGATAAGCTATTGACGTACAGGTCATTAGCCTAGGCTAGTCTAGGTTATTCATCATGACCTCGTCTTACACAATTATTGTCAGAACGTACAAGAATACAGGGGTCACAGCCAATAGGAAATGGACACGTGGCGTATGATATCACATCGAAGACAGAAAACCGCATGCCGTTGCTGACACGCGACATGGGAAAGCAAACAATTAATTGCACCATTCCCTTGATGAGACCGCATTCAATGCGGTAAGGTTCGGAAATGAAAGGCAATAAATGCTCCTAATACAGAGCATTTATTGCATCCTCCCCGAGAGGAGCACATTGTACCGTCGGCATCCCGATGACCCAGCATTGATTGCTCGGGACCCCGAGCAGTTAAGAAGAGAAGACATTCCTCATCAGAATCAGTGCGCACACTGCCTGTACCTAATGATCACCTACTGACCACACTGACAGAAATCATGAGTTTTTGAGGTATAAATACCCCTTGTAAAAGGCAAGACGGGTATGCAACAAAAAACTCTTTACTACAATACACACTCAGTGTTTTTTCCTTCCTCTCTCTCTCTCTCAAAGACTGACTAGATCGTCGGAGGGGATACGCCGGAAAACACTCCGGCGCCCTTCTAACTTGTTTTTCTTTGTTCCAGGAACCCTTTTCAGGCTTACTGGATCGTTCATCCGCTCCCCCAGGGTCTCCCGTTACCGTTCCAGGTTACTACCGGACCTCACAGGCTGTTCCAAGCTGCGTGGTTGGTCACTCAACTGGCTCACTTGAAGTTCACCAAGGGAGAGATCTGTTCTCGTTTTTTATATTGTGCAGGATCTTGCACGCACAATATCGAATCTTAATAGCATACACAGTTGGTCATTGACACACTTCTTCATGGAATCATGTGACTCTTCAGTATGCTACTTCTGATTCACCCTCCTTGTCTCCTTGGTTGTGAAGTGATTCAACCTAAACAAAACTAACATGTAAAGTAAGTGGAAAGTCTTTTTAAGTTGGTAGAAACTAACTGTCTATCACTGATGACTGGAATAGGAAAGCTTTCTTCATTGTAAGCCATAGGTCTTTTTCAGTTGCATACAAATTATTTTTTGAAGAAATATATCTAGCCAGATCCGGTGCGCTGAATGGCACTGGATTCTGCAGCTCTGTTGATGTGGCAGATCTTCTGCGTTTAAGTTACTGTACTGTTTGCTTTCATCATGTCATCTTATTTCTGTAAAGCTTATTTTTATTTCAGTATTCTTTCACTACACATTGCACAAAAAAAAGTGCATTTGTGGGATCTTGTGTATAATAGCTTGCAGTTTAACAAAAATATGACCCTCGATAAATCACAACCGAGGAACATGATATCCCAAATAGTTGGGATAAGGCTTTGTTGTGTTGAGTTGATATCTTACCCATCACAAAACTACATTTCAGAAGTCAATTTCACTTTTTTCCCCAAAAAAATTAACCAATCAGGTGAATCCTAGACCTTAAAAATTGTCATTTTCAGACACTCAACTACATGTGTTACCACTACTAATATGTGGTCATGATCAATAAAATGTTTTCCCTTTCTGTTTCTCTAAGATTATGAGTGGTTCATAGTCAGTTCATTATCATTTGCTCATTTGCAGCCATTGGTGGTGCAACTGGCCAGCTTCTTGAGCAAAATGCTCACACCCTGGATGAAATTTCTGCAAATTTTAATGCTTTTAAGGTAAACACATTTATTGAATGACTGAGTGTGACCTTCTTATTTGATTGACCTCATTGGTACGCCATTGCAGCATCACAAGCAAAAGTATTAATCCAGAGTAGTGGATTGGTGTTAGTAACTTTTTTCTTATTTTCTTACAGGTTCATGAGAATATCAATCTCTTTTGCCAAGTTCGGAATAACATCCTCGCTATTATGAATGAGTATGTCAGAAACTCTGTATGCTTATATCTGTTGGTCTGTCCTTGTTTGACACATTCCTCTCTGGCATGAGTGGGTTTTCCTTTGCTTAGTGCTTGCATGCGTGTATGTCATTCTAATCTTCAAAAGCCTATATGCAATCTTTTCTCCCATGGTTGTTTCAATCCATGTGGTTGCTTGTTATACTTGTCCAAAAAGAAAAAGATTACTTGTTTATACTTGAAACTCTAGGACTTCCAGGTGTATCCAGGAGCGTCCAAAGGAAAAGTTGTGGTTGTTGTTAGGAGTGGGAGTTCTCAAGAAAAAGATGGAATAATTACTTTGTAAAAAAGTGGAAGCAAGAAATGTCACCCAAAGACCCTGGATACGAGAAATCTACATCATGATTGCCACTTTCTGAATAGTAGGGATCAGGCAATTAAATCAGGAATAATATTTGAGTTCCATATATAAGGTGGTAACGCATGTGTGCCCCTTAAGTAAAAAAATGGCCCATTAACTCTAGTGGAAGAATCATTCTTAACACTGATAATGTTTCCGGGCAGCAAATTTGCAGTTCTAAGCCCATTAATGCAAGCTAATGTCAGCTTTGCTTGTGTGTATCAGAAATGTATAATGACTTTGGTGTCTATTGAACAATGTTCGTCAACATGCTGACATGAATTACATATTGCACAGCCTGAATGACTTGCCAGAGATAATGAAGCAAATGCCACCGCTGCCCGTGAAGCTGAATGAAGAGCTTGCCAACTCCATCCTTCCTAGGTCATCTTCGCAGAAGAAATCTTGATCCTGATCCCTCCATGACCTGTGCCTTACTAGTAATGCTTCTGATTATGCCCCTTCAAGATGGGAACTTAGATGGTAGTTAGGAAGCATAATAAACTGGTCAGTGAGTCCGGTTGATTTTTTTCAAGGTGAAATTTAAGTGCTTCTGGTTTTTAATTTGTTTCATGTCAGAATCCTTTTCTTTCCTTTACTTAATTTTCTTACCCTTTTGGAGTTGCTTGTTTGATTCTAGGGGTATCTAATGTAGTATGTAAATATGAGCCCATTTCATCTTGAGTTGATTGTTCATACAATATTTGGATATGATAGTTAATTTAGGAGTTGCTAGCTCATATGGAATAAGTCTGTGTATGTCTGCTCTTTTGGCTTTCTGTTGGAAAGAGTCGTAAGCTTTTTTCTCTGTCCACGAATAAGTCTGTGTATGATCATATGTTTTTATAAAAATTTTAAAAATAACGATGCTCCAAAACTAATGATTAACATCACTGAGACTATGACTAATTCATTCATAAAAGATATGTTATTGGGGTGATAAATGAGCCAAGCAAGCGAATGAATGAATGCATTTGAGCTCAAGTTTGTCGACATCTTATTTTTTAAAACGAGTTTAAAAAAATATTAAAGTTTGACTCATTTTTAAAACGTAATTAATTCAATTATTTTATATATAAACGAATTGAAGTCCAAAACGGAGTCAACCTTAGAGGAAATGAAAATAAACATAAAAAATTGTTGGGCCCAAACTGGTATCATTTCAATTGAGCCCCAGTGTGGCCAAAAAATAAATAAATGAAAATTTTCAGTCACAAAACCCTTCTAGATTATCATATTTTTTATGGTATCCCTTATATTTTTTAAATATTTACTGACACATCTATCAGATGACACTAACTAAAATATAATTTTACTAAATTACTTATGATATATTTTAGAAAAATTTTGTCTGCACTCCCTCTAGATAGATATTTCTTCAATTAGACCCTCTATATTTTTTGAATTTTTTATGTTTTAAAATTCAAGTAAATTAAAATTTGATTCGAATGAATTAAAATTCATTTTTTACGTATTAAAATTTGAGTCGATTAAATATTATATTTTTTTACGTATTAAAATTTGAGCTGATTGAATCAAATTTTAATCAACTTGCATTGAATTTTAATTGACCTAAATTTTGATTCATGAAAAAATATAAATTTTAATCGACTTGAATTTTAATACATAAAAATTTTTTTTAATCAATTTGAATAAAATTGTAATTAACACAAATTTTAATAAGTAAAAAATACAAATTTTAATTGATTCGAGTCCAAGTTTAATTGGCGCTAATAGTTCAAGTTGAGTTCAAATCAGCTCGATTTTAATGTAAAAAAATAATTTTAATATGCTCGAATTTTAATACGTAAAAAAAAAATTAATTAGTTTGAATTGAATTTTAATCGGCCTAAATTTTAAAATAGAAAAATAAAATTTAATCAATTCGAATTTTATGTAGAAAGATTGTTTGGAATTTATGTATAGGATAATTTTGGTATTTTAGACAAATTTTTGTTGTTAAAAACGGTGGTTTAATGGCAGGAGTGTCAGTGATGTTTAAATATAAATTAGAAGAGATGTTAGTAATATTTTAAATAATAGATGACCTATTTTAAAAATTTAGTGGAAGTGTGATTGAAATTTTCCTCATGGTCTTAAATGACGTGGCATGGGGCAGCTTCAAGTGTACAAATAAACTAAACCCCCAGAGGTCGTTGTATAAACTGGGAACTCAAATCTCTGTACAGCCACCGGAGAGAACACCACAGAGCAGGACTGAAACCCAAACAGCGATCCTGATATTTGGCGGAAATTCCCCACTGTGCTTTACAAATTACATGTAGGAGAAAGCTTTCTCTCTCTCCTCCAACCACAAGAAAAAGCCTTTCTTCTGTTAGAGAGAGAGAGAGATGACGGACGTGACCATGTGTTCTTCATCGGCTCCGACGCCGGAGGAAGAGAAACTGATGATCAGAGACGTTGCTATGACTGCCGAAGCTCAAACTAAGGAAGGCGACACCTTTTATTTAATCACTCAAAGGTAAATCTTTTAATGTTTGTTTTTCTTATTGTTGTTTGAGAAGTGCCTTCGACTTACATACTGGCGTACATATATATATATATATATTTATATATATGTATCAGTGTGTGTGGTTGCATACATTGTCATGAATTCTTTGTGGTGTTCAGTTATGAAGGATGACTTATTTCATGGGTGCTCTCTGGTTAGAATTTTAGAGGGGTTACAAAATGGTAAAGATTAGGGTTTTAGGGGAAATTTTAATGACAAGGGGTGAATGTGTGTAAATGAATTTTTCCAGTGTTTATGACCTCCATTTGGATTATAATCGGTTTTATGATCAATGGGAATCGTTTGAGGCTTAATGGTGGCCCCTTGTGTCTACACTCGCCCTTGAGTCTGTCTTTGTGGGGCTTGATTTTCCTCTCTCTCTCTCTCTCTCTATATATATATATATATATATATATATTAAATAGATATATTCTTGTATATATAGATATTTTCTTTCTTAAATTGATTTGGCTGTAACATATCTATGTGAGATTGCCTTGTTTGTAACTGTGATCTCTTACATAAATCATGTCATAAAATGAAACTGGTCCTTGTAATTCTTTATGGCTTAGAAACGGGCAGTTTGCTAATCGGCTTGTCACGTGTATTGGAGTTTTAAGGCCTGGAAGATCTTGTTTTTTTTGAACATGCTGGAAGATCTTGTTCACTTTATCTAATCTTTATATTTCTTTGGTGAAAGGGAGTACTAAAAGTCTCTTTTCTTATATTCGCGCTGGTTGCTGACAGGTGGTGGCAAAATTGGCTTGAGTACGTGAACCAGAACCATACAAACAGTACAAATGACGGATCCTCTTCCGAGCCTCATGATTCAGTTGGTTCGTGTGCTTTGAAAAGGCCCTCTAGTATTGACAATTCTGATTTAATATATGAAACATCATCAGAGGATTCTACTATGGGTGTTGAGCTCCATGACACCTTAGTAGAAGGCACTGATTATATATTGCTTCCGCAAGATGTCTGGAATCAATTATACTCCTGGTAAGTTAGACTAAAGTTTTACAAGTTTGCTTGTTTGTTGGCGGAGACTCTTAGAATTAGAGGCATTCATAGAATTCGCATAGTGCCTTCAGGATGTCTAAAGGAAATATTGAAGAATCACCGTGTTTGCTGGGTTTAGGTATGGAGGAGGTCCTACATTGGCACGAAAAGTGATAAATTCTGGTCTTTCTCAAACAGAATTGGCCGTAGAAGTGTATCCCCTGCGCCTTCAGTTACATCTGATGCCAAAAGGTGACCACTCAGCTATAAGAATAAGCAAAAAGGTATTATTATACTCCATGCTATGATGAACTGCTCCTTTTGTTTAAATACCCACTCTTCCTCTCTGTTGCCCAGTTGATGACTTACTCATCTCAGTCCAAGTGACATATATGAAAATTGAAATCTTTTGGCAGGAAACCATAGGAGAACTCCACCGAAAAGCTTGTGAATTTTTTGATCTTAGTCCAGAACAAGTAAGAGCTGATATGTCACTCTAGGTAGTGCACTTTATTTTTATTTTATCTTTCTTGAATCATCTTCATACTAGTTCTTTATAATATTTGTTTCAGGTGTGCATTTGGGACTACTTTAGCCATCGAAAGCATGCTTTGATGAATGACATGGATAAAACGCTTGATGATGCCAACATACAGATGGATCAGGATGTGGGGTTCCTTTATATAGTGCCCAGTATAACATATGGAAATCAAATTCTTATTATATGTGCTTTATATTGATGAACCATGGGATCAGCAATTATAGGCATATGAAAATTAAATCTTAAGAAAGTTATGCTCGCCTTATTCAATGTTTGTAATTCTGAATGATTCAATTTCATGACTACATCACGAATAATACTAGAATACAGCCAGGTTTCCAATTTAGATTGTTGGTCATGGAGGTCCACTTTGCACATTAATTCAAAATGGTGGAACAAAAGGTTTTGTGGTTGGAAGATGTTGTTTGCTCATTCTTGAGTAGATGGCCAATGGATTGGAGAAGTTACTAAATAATTTCCACTGATCAGGTATTGAGATGAATTAAAAATCATCCTGTAGGGCAAATTAAGCTGCATGACTGGATATCGAGTGGAGTGGAGAAGTTACTAAAGAATTCCCTCTGACCAGGAATTGAGATGAGTTAAAAACCATCCTTTAGGGTGAATTCAACTGCATGACTGGATATAAGAGACAGATAATTTTACATAAACTAGCACGTGCTCTTTGCTTTTAGGAGGGAATCTAGTAGTTTGGCTTCTGTATTCTTATGTAGCAATGGTTTGAGGTACTTCTAGGTTGTAAGGCTCAGAAAGTTTGTTAAACTTCATTGACGGGACATTTGTGTTGGTGACCAGGTTATATTCTGTATACAGAAAATGTGCTTGATAACTATTTTCCATCCTTCTATATACCCAGCAATAAAGCAAAAAGGTGTGAATTTGTAGGGAAACCCCTTGGTAATCACCAAAGCATATTGTTACACGCTTTTAGCCTTTATTTTCATGCAATCTCACACTCTCAGCCTTTCACTGTATGATATGTGGGGCCTCTACCCTGTCAAAGAAGAGCAGACATTTCTTTGACATGCATTAATTGTTATCTGAACACTGTCGAATATGTATTGTTCCGTCTATGTATGCATATACTTTTTTATAGTAAGGTGTCTCGGATGCTTGTTGATCATTTGATGTATCGAGCATTGTATTGTGGTTGTTCTTTCAACTAGTAAACAATATAATGCTTGTAGTAAAGCCTGGCCTCCAAATTCACATGATTGTAGCTCCTGTACTATGTAAGGGACTGTGTTTGCTTATTGTTCGTTAGCTATTAGCTAGAATTTCCCCATGTTTTGACATTACACTTCTCTTGTTGTGCAATTGCTGGAAGCAGATCCTGGTGGAGGTCGTTGACAATATCACTGGTGGTTGCATGAGTTCAGTTCAGGAGAATGGATCTGCAGAAAATGGAACCTCCGTTCTTGTAGAGCCTTCTAAGTCAAGCTTTTCGATTGCTGGGGGGTTTTCTGCAAGCAAGGGTTTGTCTAGAAACGGCAACTCAGAATCGTCGCAATTTCAGAGCTTAATTTCTTCAGTTCGAGAACTGGATAAGCCATATGGGATCAGTGGTGTTAGTACAAGGGGGTCTTCTGGTGGTCTGACTGGGTTGTTGAATCTTGGAAACACTTGCTTTATGAATAGTGCGATCCAGTGCCTTGTTCATACGCCTGAGTTTGCTAGATATTTTCAAGAAGATTACCATCAAGAGATAAATTTTCAGAACCCTTTGGGCATGGTTGTAAGTGTCTGATTTAATGGTCAAATTAGAGTGGTTATATATGTTTTGTTTACTGAACTTTTATTTTAAAACACCAACACTTCTAGAATTTGATGTAAAAACAATATCTGTTTAGGGAGACATGCTATGTTTAAATACTGAATCCGTTATAGAAGAAATTTAACATTTCTTCAAGATTTCCCTAAGTTTTATTTTAGAAAGCTAACACTTCAAGAATTTGGTGCAAAGCCAGTCTCTGTTTAGGAAGACATGATAATGTTTAAATATCGAATCAGTCAGAGAGGAACTTGAGTTGAGCATTGCTGTCTTCAAGGTTTATCTAAGTTACATGATCATTCTTCATCTCACTACAAGATTTTTCTCACTTGGTTCATTTCGCATCACTACAATATCTGTCTCAACAGTCAAGTTCTGGATCTGCCTCCGCGACTTGAAAATTTTATTTGGCCGTCTTTAGGAGAGTAATGTGATTGACTGGTCGATATGCCATCATTTAGTTGATTTGAAGCTTATTATGCAGGGTGAACTAGCTTTGGCATTTGGCGACTTGCTTCGGAAGTTGTGGGCACCAGGACGAACTCCAGTTGCTCCTCGGCCATTTAAAACAAAACTTGCTCGCTTTGCTCCACAGTTTAGTGGATACAATCAGCATGATTCCCAGGTTTGATACGACTTATTATGTTTTTATTGAATCATTGTTTTACTGAATTGAATGTAGTCAGCTGCCTAATGATTAAACTGTTGGGCAGGAATTTTTAGCATTTTTGTTAGATGGACTTCATGAAGATCTGAATCGTGTTAAACACAGACCTTACATAAAATCTAGAGATGCAGATGGTCGTCCTGACGAAGAAGTTGCTGATGAGTATTGGGCGAGTCATATTGCTCGTAATGATTCCATAATTGTGGATGTGTGCCAAGTGAGTACTATATTGATTTATGGTTTACGACTTGCTTACAAAAGAAACGTCTAGTTTGTGTGATGGAGTTACAGAGTTATTCTCAAGTAGAAAATTGCATAGATGATTTCATCTGTGATATTTATCTATCTTATAGTTTGGTACGGTTTTAAAATTTCTATGTTGATGATGCTTTGCATAAGTTGGAGAACTTGTGCATGATCCTGGGGTTTGGAATGCTTGACATCATTGAAGTACTGCTTGTAGGTGTCTAAAAATACTGTATCTGGTCTTTCTACTTTCTACTTTCTACTTTATACCCTGCCTGTTAGAGGTGATGTAGGTACAGGTAATACACAATTTTAAGAAAAATCTGTACATAGAGATCATTTTAGAAGACTTATCTAGAAAAGGAGAACTAAAGTAGATCATTTTAGTAGATTTTTCTGTCCCGAGGCATTCAAAACTATAAGCTGTCTTCCTTGATCTTGTGGTTGCTACTTCTTTTGTACTTCCATGTTGGATGCACAACTAGCAATTTGACAGCATTCATGGAAAAGGCAGAGAAAACCTGAGCCAAAATGTTGGATAGTACGACTGTAGGAAATGGGTGCAGGGAACTGTCATTATAGTTATTTTTGTCTTCCGCGTTACCCAGGCTTTGATAGATGTACACATTCATGGCTTAATGTTGGCTTCCAGTGAAAATCTTATTCACTAGCATTTTGTGAGTATATTTGCACATAGTCAAAACTCAATTTGACGGCAACGTTAAACCTTCTTGTGTTCCATAATGGTTTGACTGACATGCACAGAGAAATAAGTTTTTGGCATTTGTTTGTGAATTTGGTTGGTACCCATTACTGTTCATTTGCTTTTGGAACTTTCTATCCTAGGAGATGATATGGCTCGAATTGCAATGCTGTGTTTCTTTTCCAGAACCTTGTATTCACAACTATATTATGATGAACCCTTAAACTAATCGTGGGAAAATCAAATCACTATGATACTCGTCTCTGACCCTTTTGATCAAAACTTCAGGTATGACTTGTGAAGGAAATATATTTTATGTTATTATATCTCCTTGTTAGTTTAATGTTGGTTGATACCCTTAGTTTAATAGAGTTATCACTTATCATTAAGATTTCAGCTGTTTATGCGCAATGGTAAGAGTGCCCTTGGTAGGCGGCTTCAACCTAGTGGTTCATGACTGGTCTAATGAAAAAAAAAGTCTGCTCCCTGTTCCTTCTTATTTAAGGCATGAACGATTCAACATCCATTATGGTTTTTCCTATATATCCGATTCTTTTGTGCCACCAATACATCTAGCATGCAAGGGAGAGACAGACATAAGAAAGGGAGGGCACATTTTTCTTCATTCAAGTGGAATGGAGTAATTTGAATTCAGTAGAGGGCATGATGAAAGAGTAAGTTGATTAGCGAAAAATGAGTTATTTACTCACCTTCGGGCAAGGATCAAAATTTCCTTTCGAAACAGTCAAAACATTTATGTTTCCGAGGAGACCAAAAGTTTGAAACGAATCAGTAATTGAATTGAAATTTCAATGCTTTAAGGTGTTTGTGAATATTTTGAGACGTTTTGGGATGTTTTTCCCAATATTTCAAAATATTTTGAGGTGTTTCAAGTGGAATTTCACTCGTTTGATTATTTTGTGTTTCAAAGTGGGAGTTTTTTGTAAAGAGTGAAGCTTCTCATTCAAAGAGTGGTGGGTGGTTGTTGAGGTTTGCAAAGTCTAATACTTGAGCATGTTTCTGTATATTTCGTTAAATGTTTCGAAATGTTTTGAAAATAAATTTCTAATTTTTTTATCCATTTTTATTATATTTTTGAAACGTTTCCGAAATATTTTTGTTTTTTAAGTGACCGAAACAATGCACCGAAACGAGTTTGTTATCTTCTCCCACCAGTATGCAAATGGAATTTTGTTTAATTATTGTCCGGTTACTTGTGAGTCAGCCTGGTAGGTTTAATGTGGAAGATTACCGGTAGAAAGAGAAACTGAAACCCTAATTTTCTTTGTATCACTGCATATGTATGTTATCTTTTGCATATATAGTCTATATTTATTAGCTAAAATGAATAAAACCAAAAGGATTTTCATTATCAATTTGGAACACTGATCAGGTTTCCCTCACGTCAATTGCTCCAGATCACTTTTTCCTGCAATTTAGTGCTCCAAATTTGGTTATTTGTTTATTTTATTTCATTGCTTTGGTTATAGTGGATACAATTTCTAAAGACACATGAATATCAGTTTTGCTCCAGATCATGTTTTCCTGCAATTTTGTGTTTCTAAGTTCAGTATTAGTTTATGTTATATTATTTTACTTTTATGGATACAACTGTTAAAGACACATAAATATCAGTTTTGCTCCAGATCACATTTTCCTGCAATTTTGTGTTTCTAAGTTTCATTATTAGTTTATGTTATATTATTTTACTTTTATGCTTGTCCATACAACTGCTAAATGATACAACTTCAGTACTGCCCCTGCATTTACATGCGAGTGTTTGTCAACTGACAGGGCCAATACAAGTCAACTCTAGTTTGTCCTGTATGTAATAAAATCTCTGTTACATTTGATCCCTTCATGTATCTTTCCTTGCCACTTCAATCTACCACCACTCGTAGTATGACGGTGACGGTTTTTAGTTGTGATGGAAGTGCACTGCCAGTTGCTTGCACTGTAACTGTTCCAAAGCAAGGACGTTGCAGGGACTTGATCCAAGCACTTAACAGTGCCTGTTTTTTAAAGCAAAATGAGAAACTTTTGCTTGCAGAGGTAACACTGTTAGTTCAGTAATATTGCTGATTGTGGATTTTTTTTTCATATATGTAAGTTCAGTAAAGTTATAAAGTTATTTGACTGCGTTTTTACAGATAAGAAGTCACCTGATTCATAGGTTCTTGGAAGATCCTTTGATATCATTATCTTCCATAAAAGATGATGACCACCTTGCCGCCTACAAAATTCCAAAATTTGTGAAGAATACAAAATTTCTTCAGCTGATACATCGTCGGGAGGAACGGTAGGCATATCTTGTTCACATGTACAATATAGAATATCAATGGAATGGGCCTGTTTTCTATTTAAATAGGCATCATTTAAAGAACGAAATTATAACTTGTGGTTTAATATAAAGTATGACCCTTAACAGAGCACAATGGTTAAACAAGATTCATGTAGCTAACCCAAAAAATGTTGGGGCAAGGTTTGGTATTGAGGTATCATGCTACCACCACCACTCCTTAACTGATGAGAAGGGAAGGATACCGTATGGTTGACCAGTCTTATAGTTCAAAAACATTTGACTGTCATTGCTTTACATCTATTTAAACATTTGTCAGGAAGGGAAGATTCTGAGGGTCCCCAGAATTTGTTTTTTGGGCACCATGATGCCATATACTTTCCAAGAACCAGTCAAACAGTTTGTTGTGTCAAAATGTATTAAAGTTGGGTTTTCTGGCGGTACAATGTGTTAAAGTTCTCATAAGTGATTTACCTTGCTAGTGTCAGCTATTGTGCGTCAAAGTTCTCATGCTGTAATCAGTTTATTTTGATACTGTTGGCCTCTTTTAGGGAAACTGGTAATGCCCAGAAGACAACAGGGTGGAAGCCTTACGGAACACCTCTTGTTTCACCAATCTCATGTGATGATATAATTACAAGAGGTGATATACAGTCAATGGTTCACACATTGCTCTCTCCCATGTTGAGAACTGAGAATTTGGGACATCCTGATATTGCTGATGCTAATACATCATCAGCAGCATCAGATCCCCCTCGTGCGATTAGTTCAACTGAAGCATGTACAGACTTTGTTGTGGCTGGTTCAGATCAAAAGGATGGTGGCAGTACTGCAGTGGTCTCAACCAAACTTCCTCTACAATTGGTTGATGAAAATAATGCATGCATTGACCTATCAGTAGGAGAAGAGAAATCTGTCAAATTGTCCTCGTCATCAATCTCAATACTTTTATTTATTGATTGGTCACAAAAGCTTTTGGAGAATTATGACACTCATTATCTGGAAAACTTGCCTGAAGTTTTCAAATATGTGCCTGCGACCAAAAAATCTCGTACCGAACCTCTCTCTTTGTATACTTGCTTGGAAGCTTTTCTACGTGAAGAACCATTGGTACCTGAAGACATGTGGTTAGTTTCTTTGTACTCTTTTTCACTCTAAAAGGCATATCATGATAGAAATGCCTGTGTCTATGTGTGGTGTATTTATGCCTTCTATTGTCATTGATTGTTTCAGTATGGATTTGTTTTTTCGTAAGATGTCAGTTCTGAGATTGAATCCTAACCACATCAATGTAAGCTAGTTGTCCAAAGATTTGGACAGGTGGGGTACCTTATTCGTATTAAGTTCTCTTCTATCTCTGAAAGCGGGCGACAAATTTCCCATTAGGCATTCTAAAAAAACATTGAGCAATCAACCAGTACATTGGGAGCTCTCTACCCCGTGAATTTTTTTGGTTGGTTGAGTAACATGATCACCTGTGTGTAATGCTATCATTATGTAGTTTGCGATAGTGTTTTTATTCTTGGAGATCATAGGGATGTAGATCGGTGTAATATATAGCTCTATTTTTAATGTGCCGGGAAGTGATGCTGGAGGCAGTAAAATACTGAAGAACTTATGAGTTAAGATAGTTTGCTTTCCATTTCCCACAACTTTGCACCACATATTCTAACATATTTTTTGTTTATAGTTGCCTGTTGATACTGCTTGAGATAGTGCAAAAATCCCAAATGCTGGAAGAAACCTATTCACCGAACTTATTAGAGAATCCTCATGCTTAATTCAAATTCCATAGTATTATTTTATGAACACGGATTTTAAAGTTGTTCTAATCAATGGGAAGGTGTACGTGTGAAATAAATTTTTGTGGCATAAAGAACTCGATGTGTGTTGGTGTATGATAGAGAGAGAAAGCAGGAGAGTTTCTGCTGTATGCCCTCCTCCAAGTAGACTTAATGTATTATACTATGTTTTGAAGGTATTGTCCTCAATGCAAGGAGCGAAGGCAAGCAAGCAAGAAGTTAGATCTGTGGAGGCTTCCTGAGGTGCTTGTTATCCATCTAAAGAGGTTCTCATACAGCAGGTCAATGAAGCATAAGCTGGAAACCTTCATCAACTTCCCTATTCATGACTTTGACTTGACAAATTATGTAGCCAACAAGAACAACTCCCGACGTCAGCTTTATGAACTCTATGCCTTAACCAATCACTATGGTGGCATGGGAAGTGGTCACTACACTGCACATATCAAGGTGATGTAAAACTGCTTGTATCATACCCTGGTGTATATTAGATTGTTTATAGTGCTGCATGCTATCGTTGCTAGATATCCTAGGGAAATTCATACAGCATAATCTGTGTGTTAAACTGCGGGGAAGATCTAGGCATCTGCAGACAGGGATGTTGGTTTTTTTACTTTCCAAGACCTGTAGTTTTTCTTATCTTGGATGCTCCTGCTTTTGAGAACATTGCCCAAGTCAGTCCATTCACCTGAGTTTCTTATGGAGATTCTTATTCTATTGAAGAAGTCAATGACTTGTATTATTTCTTTGATCTGCAGCTTCTTGATGAGAATAGGTGGTACAATTTCGATGACAGCCACATATCACCCATTAATGAAGAAGACGTAAAGTCGGCTGCTGCCTATGTGCTATTTTACCGGAGGGTGAAAACTGATGACGCCTCTGTAAGTAATGGAGCACAGTCCTCTGCAGGTCACAACAACTTTACCTCTGAAAAGTAGCCTCCCAAGGTGTGTATACAGTTCACAGTTAATAGGGTAATCCTCTTGTATGTATTGATTTTGTAATCCTCTTCTAAAATATTTACCAATTTACAAGCCTTATGGTATTTGGGGAAGAGTCTGCCTGTTTAGGAAAGGCTAGAGAGAACAAACGGTTAATTCAATATAGATTATTGTATTATGAATCTGAGATCTCTTCTTCTTCTTCTTCTTCTTTTTTGTTGGGGCACCTAGAGGTGAACCCTAACGGCTAGGCTTTAGAAATAATGCAACTCCCTTGTCTCCATATGCGAGTTCATTCATTGTTTTCTCTTGGCAATCGGTACACTTACCTCACCTTAAGAAAAAAGGTTGTCAATTGAGTTGTATCGTGTTATGTTTGATTTGTGTTGTTTTGGATGTATGATTTTAGGTTCGTATCGTGTTTATGTCACCATAAAACCATGACATAAACACCACAAATTGCAGGATTAAGACTTCCTTTTCTGTGAATCAAATTCATTACGTATTGGTCCCTTTAAATTCGAGAATAAAAAACTAGGGCATTATCAGCAGCAAGCCAAGAGGATTTGAACCCACTTTTGGAAAAGAAGAAATTGAATGTGTCAATGTCAGTGCATTTGACCAACCGATTGAGAGACTGGATTAGTTACGCACAACCTGATTTGTGTAGGTTAGAAGCCAAAAAAAAGTATGATAGCTCGTTTAATTACACTGATCGCTCCATTTGTTTTCTTGGTGGAAGGGTTCAAATTCAGTGAAATGAATGAACGATAGCTGTTTAAGAAAGGGGCAGAACATCGCTCTCTGTGGCAGCCAAGGAAAAACAAGATATTGATTCAGTCGGAAGTAGACTTTTTGATTAGTGAAAGTAGATGCACAATGAGATTTGTCCTGGATTGATTGTCTTACAGCTCCATATCTAATCGTTCCGTCTCCTATTGTTGGGAAAATCAATCCGAAAACAGTAGATCTTTCCTTGTTTGTTCTCCGAATGATGAAATTGACCAAAATGTAATTTTGCAATGATTTGTAAAATACACAGTCAAGACATAAAAACATTAAAAATTGATCATTTTTGGGATTCATGTCAGGTAACACAGGTACATAATTTTGGAATTCAAACGATACAGATTTTGATTTTCTGCTTTATTATGGAGCAAAACAGTCTAACTGCCCACATCAACCACAACTTCACATCAAATAGGACCATATGGAACTGTAATATTATGAAGCAAATCAGACGATCTACTCAAATTGAATTTCAAACCTACTCCAAATAGTTTACATGAAACTGTCTTATTATGGAGCAGATCAAACGATCTACTTATTTCAAATTCAAAATCACACCAAATTTAAAATTTACATAGATAATGAAAGTTGAATCACATTCACATAACATGATGGTCGTCCACATTCATCATCAGGAAGATAGCTTATTCATGGGCTTGTGTAGGTATCATCACTTCAAGGATTTCTCTATCTCAATCGCAAATCGATACTTCACGCCTCTCTTCACTAGCCTCTCAAGAGCTTCATATATATATGGGATTGAAATCAGTTCAATCTCTGGGTATATTTTGTGAGCTGCACAGAAATCTAACATTTCTTGTATCTCTTTTAAACCACCTGTTGCACTCCTAGAAATTGATTTCATACCTGCTACCCAGAAAAAAAAAATCAAGAACTCTCTTTACACCTATGACTAGGGTTGGGAAATCACATATTCTAGTCACGTATGCTTCATAATTACGAGTCCTTTTTTTTTTTTTGGGTGTAATTCACAATTACAAGAGTCTTACGCATGTTCCAGGAAAATATAGCTGCCATAACTATCTTCAGTTCAAGAAGTTTGGTGATACAAGTACCTCTAAGAAGACTGATGGGGCTGAGCTTGACACTTGGGGCACCAACCAAGACAAGGGTTCCAGCAGTCTTCAACAGGGCCATGTATGGATCAAATGGGTGATCCCCAGAAGCTGTGTCAATTATAAAGTCCAATGAATTTGCCAGGGTCTGCATACAAGTGGATCAAACTGTTACATGCCCTGTTTCTCAAATTGTTCATTATGTCACTTTAAGGTTGGCTGATACCATCTTATTGCGGAAGTAACAGACTTGGATCCCCTATAATACATTTTTTCTTCAGTTTTTATAAATAAATCAAGTGACATGATTTTAAGTCAGGGCTCATTATAGATATGCAGGTCGGTGGGTGTTTCACCATTGAGATGGAAATTATGGAACAACATCTGGAATTCGAAATCCATAAGTAACTCATATCATTTACCTTCATCTGTTGTTCATCTGATGAGACCACAAATATGTCAGCTCCAAGAAGATTCAAAGCTTCCTCTTTCTTAGACATGCTTGTGCTGAACACTGTTACATTCAATCCAAAAGCCTTCCCAAACTTGACAGCAGAGTGACCAAGGCCTCCAAGCCCTATCACACCAAGTGATTTTCCAGGTTGGTTCATCTTGTGCCTCATCATGGGACTGTACACAGTAATTCCAGCACACAACAGTGGAGCTGCTGAGGTCAATGGGTAGCCATCAGGTATTCTGACGCAGTACCTGTAAGTCCAAAACAATAGCAGTACCCACTTAACTTTGATTCAGATATGAAATTTATGAGTATATAAGAGGTACTTATAACTCATTTAAAGCTGAGTAATGACTCAAAAAGCTTAGTAATTGACTCAATTGAGTCAAGTTACGAAAATATTCATTTGGGAACAAAGTAACTACTTTTCGATTGCAACACATAACTTAGTGGGATTCAAATTAAGGACGGATAAGGGAATGACAAATATGTCTAGCTTGCCATGGGTGGGGGTTACCTTTCCTGAACAACATAGTAGCTGGAATATCCGCCTTTTGTGACAGTACCATCTTTATCAACAGAGTTAAATGTGGATATTGCTCCTTTTTCGCAGTGGACTTCCCGATCAACATTGCAATTTTCACATTCCTTGCATGAGTTAACATACGTTCCAACTCCGACATGTTGGCCAACTTTGAAACGATGGACATTGGAGCCAACCTCTTTCACAACTCCAGCAATTTCATGTCTGCTCAAATATAGTCTCATCAGACATCAGTTGATGAAAAATTTGAGTAACCCTTCTTTGTATTATCTGAAATATTTCAAGTGTAATTTGGGCATATCAATCCTAACTAACCCGAAATATTTAGTATTTGGTCAATGATTCAAGTATTTGGATTGGATTTGGACAAAAATATCTGAATCCGATCCAAGTACTCAAGTTGTGGCTTCTGATTTTTGGAATTTAATCCGAACTATAGAATTCAAGATTAATGGGTTGTGTAATCTTAGAATCAATACCCAAATTGCACTTGATTTGACAGTGAATTTCAGCCCTAAAATACATCAATTTTTAACCCAACTGAATCGGATTTGAGTTGAATTCCCATACCCTGGCACCAGAGGATACATTGCATCCCCAAATTTATTCCTGGTCCATACTACATCAGCATAACATACTCCACAATGAGTAATTGTTTAGCAAAACATCGTCATCTCCAACTGCCCTGTATTGGGTTTTATCCCCAGAGTTAAAAGGGTCAGTAAATTTGTGTAATATGCAGCCATGTACAAGCAGAGAGAGACAGACTGTCAATAGGAAAAATATAAGCAAAATTGTTTCATACCTTGCAAAATTGTAAGGTGAGAGAAAACCAGATGAATCTCTTGCTGCCCATCCAAGACAGTCCTCCTTCACTTCTAAACTCATTTTAGCTTCTTTTCTTTCTCCTGCATGAACAACCTCAATCAATGAGACATATTTTGTTTCAATAGATTTATTAAATAATAATGTTATCTGAACCTAATTTATCATAACAAATTTATCATAACAATTGGATTGAACGTGAATCTTATTGTCAATCCAATAATTATGAACAATTAAGTTAATAAAAAACAATGAAAAGACGATTACTCTCGTATTTATAAAAAGCAGAAAAGAAAATAGCTGGGGCAAAAACCCAGCACAGAAAAAAGAGAAGAATGCCACAAGCATATATAATTGTATTACTACTCAGTACTCACGCAAGGAGAAGAATGCCACCAGATTCCGAATGCAGATTGTATATGGAAGTGACTTTCTCTCCCTCTATTTATAGAACTACTGGCTGTGTCTTCACTTTTAGTTTCCCTTAACAATTCTTGGACGTAATGCCATCCCACTGTTACTCATAAACTGTCAAATGTGTATTGTTTTTGTTTTTGCTGCAATGACTTCGAGAGTTTTCTTGACGTAGGCGGTGACATCTTTGTACGATTAATCGGAATTTTTACCAGAGATTGATTAGTTCAACCTAAATCAAATATAATTGGAGAAATTATACCCACGTCCCTTCAAGTTTGGTGCTTGATTACCTATACTCTTTGACATTTAAAATATTACATACAAACTCTCTAAAATTTGTATGTGCATAATACAGATACTTATGCCAGTGTGGTTAATATCCATTAGTAAATTATATCCAGATCTCTAAAAATTTGAAACATTTAATGCTTAGATCCCTTCAAGTTTAAAATATTATAGTTAAACCATAAATACCTAATTAAAGATAGAATATCAAATATTTTAAATTTTACAATCAAAATTAATGTTATATTATGTCATTTATTGAAATAAAATTAAAAATAAAATATATTTTTTCTTAAAAAAATTGTAATTAATATTGTTGATTCCAAAATTTAGACGACATTCACGTTAGTTTGGACTTGGACTAAATGGACTTTTCACATTCGGTCAATTTTTTAATTATTAAGTACGAGCATATAAAATATGCCTAATCAACACATTTGCATATTCCATTATATTATCCATTGACATAAAAACCAAAGAAAATTTCAATTTTTTGAGGTAAAAATTGTAATCAGTATAAATATATCAAAAAATTCAATTCAACACTCATTTGTATACAATTATACTGTCTATTCGAATAAAACTAAAAACTCAAACAAAATCTTTAATTGGACTATTTTGGTCGTTTAATAGATTTAAATGATTCCATAACTAATAAGGAGTCTAAATATAATATTTTAAATTTGAAAAGTTTAAGTATTACATGCTTACAAATTTCAGGGAGTTTGACTATAATTTATTAATGGATACACTAATAGACACTAATTACAGAGTGTAACAAGTGTATAAACTTTAGGAGTGTAATATTTTAACTATCAGGAGATCTAAGTGATTAAATATAAATCTCATAAGATTTGGGTGTAATTTTCCTAATATAATTTGATCTGACGTCGGCTATGACTTAAGCTTAAGAACAGTTTCAAATCACAGCTCCATAAAGATAAAAAGAAAATGCTATTTGGATATAATTTGAGGACCTAATCTAAGGACTAGAAATGAAAATTATAATTAATTATATGAAGATCTTTTTTGATATAGGCATATTGTTGTACAATAATCCACTCCAAAAGTTTAATAATTAGGGTGACAGTCAGATTCGATTATATGATCTCTTGTTTTGATACCATGTTAAACAAAAATTATTGAAAATGATGTAATTCAAGTATTTATATTTTAACACATATATCCTATTTATCTATTACATATTATCTGAATATTAATTTTTTTTATAGATACAATAGTAAAATATAAATTTATACCTTTTCATTCTACCAAACATAAAAAAAAATAAAAAATCACAATTCTTCATTCTTTCCATCATTCTAACCAAACACAAATGAGTGAATAAATGATTTCTCCATTGACAGTATATAACTTCTACTTTTCATTCTTTTATTTTTTTCATTTATCATACCAAAACACACCATAAGGAAGATGAGAGGTTTAATGTCCTCATTATGAAATATCTATATAATAAAGAAGTTAGATTCGTTTGCCTTAAATTTTTCACTGTTCAGATCGTTCGAGGATTATTGATTCGACAGTCTTAATGCAAGTTTTTTTCTCCCAAACTACTTTTAGAAGATTTTTTTAATTTTTTTTACAATTATAAGAGTCCAAACTCCTCATATCTCTTTTTCTCTATCTCATACTATATGATGCAGCTCACACGTCTCTCTCACTCATTTATTTGGTTCAATCATCTTTTATCTTGCACTTTTTTATCTTTCTCGTGTTTGGTCGTCTATTGTGTAATTCAACAAGGGTTTTTTGTTTAAGGATCATATAAAACATATTATTTTTTCTCTGGTTTTTGCTATTTTCTTTTGAGTTTCAGTATTTTCTATTTTTTTCTTGGTCATAAGGTAGTATTGAGCCTAAATCACCTTTTTCAGTTGTCATGAGTTATTGGAAAAGCCAATACCGCAACCACATGACTTGGGGTTTATGCATTGCATATTGGATTTATTTTTTGTATTTATGTGGTGTGAAAGAAAAAAAATTGGTGCATTTTTTTCCTTTACTGTTTACCGTTATGATTTTATTTAATAATGACTTTGATAATTTGGTCTTTCTTTACATTTTGACAATAATAGTTGATCAGGAATCCAATTGAGTTGTTGTATATCTCGTCAAAGACCTCGAGAAATATCTCCTAAATATTTGCTACAATTAAAATCACAAACGGTTACCTGTGTGTGAATTTTGAAAGTTAATTAGCATAAATTAAATTTGAATGTTTACTTTTTTTTTTCTCCCTGTTTGGTTTTATGATATTGTGATTTTTAAATGGTGATTTTCAGAAAAATGCAACTTCGTTGATGCTTTGTTTTAGGGTTCGATTCAGGTGGATAGTTAGAAGGTTAAATTTGTTTTATTTTACTATGCTTACTGTTGAATTAAAAATTATGTAGTGAAAATAAAGGATTGTGTTTTGTTTAGTCGGAAGGTCTGTTTTTTTGTATTTATGTAGTGGAATGGCACGACGTGAGGGATGACCTCCTCCTTTCCGGTTAGCAATCTACAAGAGTTTTTTGCCTCTGTTTTTGGTAGGCCCACTACCTGTTTGTTTTAAGCTCGTTAGGACTACTTTTGTTATTGGATTTTGTTGTGTTTTAATCATAGGAAAAAGAAATGGTTGAAAGAGTCAAAAAAAGTTAATATATACTGGTGCTTATTTATTTTGGTGAGAGACAAGGGATTTTTTTTTACTCACTATAATTGTTGGATTAATTTTGAGCCCTATCAAACATTAAAACTTTGTGTTAATCAAATGATTACAATAAAATTACGTCATTAATTTAACAAATTACATCGAATTTTTAGATTTAGCATTACTCATAAAATATCACTTAATCATCCACAACTATTTATAACTTCTCATCTTTGTTGATTTTTTTACATCCGTTTTTCTATCTTTCTTCGTATATCGCTTTTTCTTTTTTTCTAATCACATGGCCAGATAAAGTTTGGGTTTTAGGCCTCATGTTCAAAAAAAGTTCTAAAATTTCTTAGGGCATAGTTAATCCAAATAAAAAAAAATTAGATCCATAAGAATTTCGGCCCCCTAAAAAAGTCCTATGAAAATTAAAACCCAGTTAAAAATAAAATTGAGTAGTTTGGGCTCATGAATTAAGTTCATAGTATTAAAAATACATAAAAACAGTTTTTTAAGGAAAAAAAATAAACGCTAATTGTTAAAAAAAATTCCAATATGAAGGACAAGTAATCCTAAACTCAAACCCTCATTTTTTTATTTGTGCTACAAAAAATATGGCAAAATATTTTTGATTTTTTTATTAAACTTAAAAATTAAAATCAGTAGATCATGATTGTTTAAAATTTAAAGAAATTTTTTAAAATTAAAATTGATAAAATCTTTCCTAAAATCAAATATCACAAGAAAAAAGTAGATTAGTGTACTACCAATATAAAAAGATACGATGACAAAACTTAACTATAAAAACTAATAGTACTTTTAATATCACTTTAGGCTTCAAATAGTCTTGGACCTCCCTTAGTGACTAATTGCACACGCGGACTTGTGTGCAATCGCCCATAGTGAGTGACAATAAAATTTCAATCATTGTATTGTGTTAATTATTTAATATATATATATATATTTTTAATTTTATCCTTAATTGTACCCGATAAAAATTAAACAATAAAACTTGACCCAAATTCTTACTCAGACCCGTGACCCATGATCAGTATCCCTTACCCTTTCCCTACTCCAACCGGACAACCAATTTTGCCTTCACTCCCAAACCCTAACATCTCGCCATTAAACCATCACACCACCATTGGAAAAAATGAGCACCGCGATTCTTATCAAATTGATATGAAGTGTTAAATTAGTGAGTCTTGTTAACTTTTTTTGATAGTACTTACTATTGTTGCATATTTCTATTATGTACTTTCTTTGAGAGGTGTCGTTGATTTATTTGTAGGATTTCATTATCGGGTAGATAAAATCATTGATTGAACATATCTAAAATTTTAGGTCAAATTTATTTTTGAATCACTTTTTTTCGAATGAACATATCTAAAATTTTACCTTTTTTCTCATGCATAGGGCTTTCAGGTATGCCACGTCGCACTCCAAATTATTCGGATGCTTACGCGAGGTGGAATGCCCTTAGCTGACCCTTACTACAAACATTTATTTGATAAACATTTCAAAAAAAAAATCTTTAGTAAAAAATTTGGTAAGCATATCTTTATTCTAGAAAAAATACTCGCATTTTGGCCCTCATTTAGGGCATCTCTAATGTTGACCCAAATTCAAATTCAAATTTAAGTTAAAAATTGAATAAAAAATTTGATTTGATATAAACTTCTTCAATAGAAAAACTCAATTTTTGAAGAAGGGCAAACTCAAATTTAAAGTAGGACAAATTCAAATTTAAATGAGCGTGAAATATGACCATTAGATTTTTTCAAAGAGTTAAATTTGATCATTGAATATTTGAATAAATATTTGAGTTTGCCTTAATTTGAGTTAAAAATTGGGTCTCCTTTCATTTGATATAAGTTTGAGTCAAAACTGAAACTTATTTTTAGTCTGTTTTACTCAAATTTAAATTTGAGTAAGGGTTTGAGCAAGAAGTGGAAATGACCTTACTGAGCATTTTCAACCATGACTCAAATTTGAGTAAAAAAACTTGATTTGATATAGAATACTCTAATGAGCAAATTCAAATATCTACTAAAATATTTTAAAAAATTCTCTTATTGTCCCAAAACTCTTTTTTTTTTGTCATAATATTTGATAAAATAAATGAAACTATCATATCTCTCCACCAATGGGTAATTCAAAAAAAAATGAATTTGTATACAACACTATATGAGAATAAAGAAATCACCCTAGAATTATAAGATTGCTCTAATCTCTTATAATTTTTTATAAATCCAGATAAAAAAATAAAATTAACTATTTTGATATGACTTGGTCTATAAAACACAAAAACATATGTTTTTAACAAAAATAAAAGATTGAAGAAATAAAGTGAAGAATTTTCTCTTGGCAATTGGTACACCCTTACCTCACCTTAAGAAAGAGGTTGTCAATTGAGTTGTATCGTGCTATGATTTTAGGTTTGTATTGTGTTTATGTGACCAAAAAATCATGACATAAACACCACAAATTGCAGGATTAAGACTTCCTTTTCTGTGAATCAAAATCATTACATATTGGTCCCTTTAAATTCGAGAATCAAAAAACCAGGGCATTATCAGCAACAAGCCAAGGGGATTTGAACCCACTTTTGGACAAGAAGAAATCGAATGCGTCAATGTCAATGCATTTGCCCAACAGATTGAGAGATTGGATTAATTACGCACAATCTAATTTGTGTAAGCCAGAAGCCAAAAAAAAGTATGATAGCTCGTTTGATCACGTTGATCTCTCCATTTGTCTTTTTGGTGGAAGGGTTTAGATTTAGTGAAATGAATGAGCGAGAGCTATTTAAAAAAGAGGTAGAACATCGCTCTCTGTGGCAGCAAAGAAAAAGCAAGATATTGATTCAGTCAAGAGGAAGACTTTTCAATGAGCGATGTAGATGCACAATGAAATTTACCCTGGATGGATTGTCTTAATGCTTTATATCTAACCTATTGTTAGGAGAAATCCCTTCCTGATTAAATCAATCCAAAAACAATAACACTTTCTTTGTTCGTTCTTCGAATGATAAAATTGACCAAAATGTAATTCTGCAATGATTTGTAAAATACTCGCTCAAGACATAAAAACATTACAAATTGATCATTTTTGGGATTCATGTCATGTAACACAAATGCCTAATTACAGAATTCAAACAATACGGATTTTGTTTTTTCTGCTTTATTATGGAGCAGAACAATCGATATGCCCACTTCAACTACAACTTCACATCAAATAGGATCATATGGAACTGTAATATTATGAAGCAGATCAGACGACCTACTCAACTTGAATTTCAAAATCACACCAAATAGTTTATATGGAACTGTCTTATTATGGAGTAGATCAAACGATCTACTCATTTCAAGTTCAAAATCACACCAAATTAAAAATTACATAGATAATGAAAGTTGAATCACATTCACATAACATGAAGTTCGGCAACATTCATCAGGAAGATAGCTGATTCGTGGGCTTCTGTAGGTATAATCACTTCAAGGATTTCTCTATGTCAATCACAAATCGATACTTTACGTCTCTCTTTACAAGCCTCTCAAGAGCTTCATTTATGTATTGGATTGAAATCAGTTCAATTTCTGGGTATATTTTGTGAGCTGCACAGAAATCTAACATTTCTTGCTCCTCTTTTAAACCACCTGATCCACTTCCGGAAATCGATTTCATACCTGCCATCCAGAAAAAAAATATTAAGAATTCTCTTTACAACTGTGATTAGGGTTGGGAGATCACATATTCTAGTCAGTCTTTTTTTTTTTTTTGTTGTGTGTCATTCACAATTACAAGAGCCTTATGCATGTTCCAAGTAAATATAGCTGCCATAAACACCTTGAGTTCAAGAAGTATGGTGATACGAGTACCTCTAATAAGACTGATGGGACTGAGCTTGACTTCACTTGGGGCGCCAACCAAGACAAGGGTGCCAGCAGTCTTCAACAGGGCCATGTATGGATCAAATGGGTGATCCCCAGAAGCTGTGTCAATTATAAAGTCCAATGAATTTGCCAGGGCCTGCATACAAGTGGATCAAACTGTTACATGCCCTGTTTCTCAAATTGTTCATTGTGCCACTTTAATGGTTGGCTGATAACATCTTAATCCAAAGTAACCGATTTGGATCCCACTTGACATGATTTTAAGTCAGGACTCGTTATAGATATGCAGGTCGGTGGGTGTTTCACCACTGAGATGGAAATTATGGAAAAGCATCTGGAATTCGGAATCCAGAAGTAACTCATATCATTTACCTTCATCTGCTGTTCATCTGATGAGACCACAAATTTGTCAGCTCCAAGAAGATTCAGAGCTTCCTCTTTCTTAGACATGCTTGTGCTGAACACTATTACATTCAATCCAAAAGCCTTACCAAACTTGACAGCCAAGTGACCAAGGCCTCCAAGCCCTATCACCCCAAGTGATTTTCCAGGTTGGTTCATCTTGTGCCTCATCATGGGACTGTACACAGTAATTCCAGCACACAACAGGGGAGCTGCTGAGGCCAATGGGTAGCCATCAGGTATTCTGAAGCAGTACCTGTAAGTCCAAAACAATAGCGTACCCACTTAACTTTGATTCGGATACGAAATTTAGGAGTATATAAGAGCTATTTATAACTCATTAAAGCCGAGTTATGACTCAAAAAGGTTAGTAATTGACTCTATTGAGTCAAGTTACGACAATATTCATTTGAACACAAAGTAACTACTCTTCGATTCAAACACATGACTTAGTGGGATTCAAATTAAGGACGGATAACGGAATGACTAATACGTATAGCTTGCCATGACGGTGGGTTACCTTTCATGAACAACATAGTAGCTGGCATATCCACCTTTTGTGACAGTACCATCCACATCAACAGAGTTAAATGTGGATATTGCTCCTTTTTCGCAATGGACTTCCCGATCAGCAATGCAATTGTCACATTCCTTGCATGAGTTAACATACGTTCCAACTCCGACATGTTGGCCAACTTTGAATCGATGGACATTAGAGCCAACCTCTTTCACAACTCCAGCAATTTCATGTCTGCTCAAATGTACAGACATCAATTGATGAGAAATATGAGCAAACCCCATCTTTCTATTATCTGAAATATTTCAGGTGCAATTTGAGCATATCAATCCCAACTAACCTAAATATTTAGTATTTGGTCAAAGATTCAAGTACTTGGATTGGATTTGGACAAAAATATCTCAATCCGATTCAAGTACTCCAGCTGTAGCTAATGATTTTTGGAATCTAATCCAAACTATAGAATTCAAGATTAACGGGTTGTGTAATCTTAGAATCAATACCCAAATTGCACCCGATTTGACAGTGAATTTCATCCCTTAAATAATTCTATCTGAGTGGAAGGGTTTGGATTAAAATTGGATTTGAGTTCAACTCCCATACCCTGGCACCATAGGATACATTGCATCCCCAAATTTATTCCTGGACCATAATACATCAGCATAACATACTCCACAATGAGTAATTGTTAGCAAAACATCGTCATCTCCAACTGCCCTGTATTGGGGTTTGTACCCAGAGTCAAAAGGGTCAGCAAATCTGTGTAATAATAACAATACAGCAAGAAGTAAAGTCCAATTCAATTGCTCATAAGCTAAAAGACCAGTTATTAGAAATATATGTTTTAAGATGTGATCTACTACACAAAAATACTAAAGAAAATGCTATTTGTGTCCAGTCTATACAATTAGGTCTAAGTAGCGTTGGTCGATCGAAAATAAAAGCAAGTTTTGATACCTTCTTGGAAATTTATAAGGGGATAGAAAACCAGATGAATCTCTTGCTGCCCATCCGAGACAGTCCTCCTTCACTTGTGAACTCATTTTAGCTTTCCTGCATGAACCAATTCGATTCAGTGAGTCATACTCTGTCTCAAAAACTTATGAAATCAATACAAAAACCCTATTATTGTTGTTATCGACAAAGGGAGATTATCAGCAGTAGATAAGAACGTGTAACTCACACACAAGGAGAAGAAGATCGCCACCAGATTCTGAATGCAGGTTCGCCATGGAAGTGAAGTCCCTATTTATAGACAGTGTCTTTGTGGAGTGGGTTGTTTTTGGGTTAATTACAAAATAACCCATTGAACTATGGGTCTCCTTTCAATCATGTCCTTCATGTTTCAAACTCCTCCTCAAAATTCATCCGAGTGAAGAGTCTGAGAGAGTCTGGGCCTAACTGTGGGAGGCGCAGCAGTGAACGTTGAACCGATTGTGAAGTGCCAACGCTATTGATTTATATATTTATTTTTAAATATGTTTGGATTTAGCCTAATTTATATATTCGAATTGAACTTGATTATCCTGATATTGCTTGAATTTAATTTGAATTGTTTTTTTAGCTTCAATTCAATTTAAGTATTAAAAATCTTAACTCAAATTTTATTTTTTGGGTTGAGTTTGGTGACGATTGTCGCCAGAGACGTTGGAGATGTTGACCCAGCTACGTAAAAGGGCCAAGAAAATGGGTAGAAGTAAAGGTCAAGGGTACACGAGCAATTTTTAAATTTTTGTTCAATTCCTCCGTTAATTTAGTCAAACTAAAATTTAAAATGGATAAATTGTTAAAATTAAAACCTGAACGAACTAATTAAAACGAGACTCATACTTCGAGGGTATATTTTATTATTAACCATTTTTTGGGGTGGGGGCGGCGTGGTGGGAGATTTATGATAATTATTACACTGCATTATTATTGGATTTTTGTGAAATTTTTTAATAAATGAGATTCATTTACTTATTTGTTGATCTACTGGTTATAGTCCATGCACTACACAAAAATAGAATTTGAGCATAAAAAATATTGATCTCATTTTACTAAATAATAATTATTTTAAAAAAATAATTAAAATTTTCTCAAAATACATAATCTCAAAAAATTGTCAACATGTTTACAATATCATATATGAACAATATTTGAAATAAAAATATATTAAATCACAAATTAATAAAAAATTAAATAATTCAAATTATAATAGTAATGAATGTTGTGATAGAAATTGACAGAAAAAATTTGTAGACTTGTAACTCTAATGGGCATCCTGACGTTAGCTATGACACCTTTTGTGGGATTTTAAGCAAAGGTTGCCTTGTTCAACATATATAAAATAATCAGATCTGACGTAGGGAGTGACTAAAGGCTAAGGGAGGGGGCATGCTTAAGTAATCATATTTTAATTTAGAATAAGTGGCAGTTAATTACTTGAAGAATGAAAATTAACACGTGTCAAAAGCTCAATGAAAGGCTAAAAGGGGAAAGGAAAGGTCAAATGGGTCACGCTCAGAATTGATTGAGATTAATGATGTTTGTCAAACTCCATAACACGCGCTTTTATGTTAAAGAAAATTTGGAGATTGATCCCCTTATAGGAACTTCTTTAGATTTAAGTTTGTCAAAAAAATTTATTTGTTATTAAGTTTATTTTTTATCAATTTTACCAGACTATCCATTCTTTTTAGAAGTGAAGTAAAACTAAAAATTAAAAACTCTTAAATTTTAAAAGTTTAACTAACATTAAAAAAATTTCTCTCATATATATATAATAACATTAATATTAAAAAATCGTAACAGTCAAATACACAAAAAAATTTATCATTTAAATACAAAAAATAATATCATTTAAATGCAAAAAAAATAATAACATTTAAACATAAAAACAAATAGTGACATTCAATATTAATATTTAAAAAAAATAATAATAGTAACATGTTTTAAAAAAATAGTAATATACTTAACAAAAACAGTAACATGTTCAACCAAAAAAAAATAGCAATATGAAACATTAAACAAAATTGAAAATAAAAATTAATGTTATCAGAATCGGACCGGACCAGACCAGCCAATCGGACTAGTTCAACGGTGACCCAAGACTTTAATCGGTTTGATTCTCTAGTTAGACCTCTTAAGGAATAGAACCAATTCAAAACTTCTAAATTGGTCGATTTTTGGCCAAAACCATGAACCGATCAATTTTTTAAAATCGGGTGGTTCAAATTCCACTCGTTATATAAAGAAAATCCCATTTTTTGGGTCATTTTACCCTAAATTAATTTCATTCCAACTTCGTCTTCACTCCTCCAGTCGATGAATAGCTTCAGGCATGGTGACGTAGCTCCAGCGAACAACAACAACTCTCTACTCGATCTTGATTCCTTCGAGATCTAGATCTTCTCCACTCAATCTCTCTTCAGTCAGTTGATCTGAGTCATCTTTCTCACTCAATCCCTTCTGTTTTCCTTGGTTATGGTGGTGGTGTTAATTTTTACAACCGTTCAAATTTGTGTTATCTGATTGTTCAAAGGTCTAAAAAAATAAAAAAAACAAATAAAGATTGTTCAAACTTCAAAATTTGTCCTTATGTTCTGTGAACTGTAATCTTTATCTTTGATAAGAATTTGATATTTGGAACATGAGTTTCTAGTTTTGTCTACTTAACTTCATTAATTTTATAACAAATTGTATGAATTTTATACATATATAGGTGAAATATTTTGTTTTGTAATGATTGTAATTTTTTTATATTTTTTTATTATATAGCCGGTCTGATTAGTTGATCCAACGGTTGAACTAGTGAACCATTGACCCGGTCCCTTTGTCGGTTCAATGGCTGGTTAGGTTCTGACAACATTGATAAAAATAGTAGCATTTAAACCCATAACCAAAAAAGAAACCTCTAATTCTTCAATATCAAAAAAAGCAGCATTGAAAAAGTATTAACATGCTCAATGAAAAATAATAACATGAAAAAAAATAGTAACATGGTCAATTAAAAAAAATAATAATATGATCAACAAAAAATGTAATAACATGAAACATTGAAAAAATTTGGGAATTATTTATCAAAAAAATAAAAATAAAATTGGGAATCAAACATAACACATTGAGCAAAATTTACAACCTTTTTTTTTTTGAAAACCAACGACATAGAAGTTAATGATGACTAGAACGCAATAGAAGATATGATAGTTGTTGATAATGTTCCAAACCCTAATGATTTCGATGCTATGAAGGAAGAAATGATATTTAAGCAAAAAGATTTGTTGTACTAGAGTGATGATTTTCTTCTAAAATGAGAGAGAGAAAGAGAATATAAATTTGAATTTTAATTTAAGAGTGAATTAAGGGATAATAATTTTTAATTTAAGAAATTAATTTAAAGTTACTTTCAAGGTCTTTACGGTTCCTATAATTGAACAAACTGTTGAGGGTATTTTTGAGATTTAAAAAATAGTGGATTTAAGTACTTATTAATAAGATAAAAAACGAACTTATCACTAAATAAGTTTCTTTAATGGGATCAAGTTATTATAAGTTCATCTAAGAGAACTTAGCTCCAATTTTCACTTATGTTTAATTACTTATATTGTAATTTTTCACTTTTGGTAATTCTAGTATAATTAGGGATTTAGTCTCTATTATGGGGATAATTAGGGTTGTGGTCGTTCATATATAATCAATGACAGACAAATATATTAATCTAAACCTACTACTTGTAATCCCCTCCCCTCCCCTCCCCCCCAAAAAAAAAAATCCCTATTAATGGGCCTTAAGTCATTCCTGTGTAGTAATGGGCCTTAGGCCAATTCCAACAAAATATGTTTATGGGTTCTACCCGGAGGATGTACACAGCTTTTAATGCAGAGAAAAATATAGGCAGCAATATTGGATTTGTAGCTAGTTAAGCCCAAAGAGAGGTATTCTGGCTTATTGGTTTACATAGAAGGCAAGAAATGAATGGGTGTATAATTATCATGTACCTCAGTGCAATACAGTGATCCATAGAGCTATTTCGGCGGCAAAAGAAGTCCTTACTTATAAGGATAACGTCAGCATAAGGGAAAATTCAAGAGAGGAGGAATCTGGATAGCCAATTCCACCTAAAGAGTGGATGAAAATCAACTCTGATGGGGCTTTTTTGCCGAAGTCTAGGATAGGAGCAAATGGCGTTGTTAGAAATGAGGACGGCGTTTTTATAAATGGGGATGCCAGAACTTTTGACTCTTCTTCTGCATTAGTTTCCGAGGCTTGTGTAGTTAGGAGGAGAGCCTGCCAAAATGGCATTGGAACTTCAGCTTCAAAAAATAATCATAGAATCAGATTCAAAGGTTCTCATGGATTCAATATGCAAGTGCATCGAAGCTACAATTAAAAATATTACGCCAATTCAACAAGATATATGGTATTAAGCATAACAGATTCCCCAGATCAAGTTTCAAATAATCAAGAAGAACCAGAACAAGGTGACTCGTACACTTGCAGGTTTGACTAGAAGAGGTAACCTTTACCCTCATTGGGTGACTCATCTCCCATCATATCTGAGGAGTGTTCTTAGAGAATAGGAAAGGGCTGGTGTTGGCTAAGACTTGTAGATTGTATTTCAAAGTTTACCATTAATGCAAATTTTGATTTTCTGACCAAAAAAAAAAAGGCCCAATTAAGAACGTTCTTCCCTTGATTTGGAGGGTGAATATCTGTCTACCTAACTTTATGAAAATGATGCCCCCCCTTTTTTTTAAAGAAACATCCAAACTACTATACATGTTCTAGACAATATAATTTTACAGATTTATTCTTATTTTCTTTTAGGAAAATGCTATAGTTCAGAGCTAGCTCAAGGTAATCTATACAAATCAAAGATGTTTTTGTCCAAGAAGCCTTGTTTGATCTTTTACTCAAGATTAAGAGGTGGATATATATGTGAGATGATCTGTCCAAGGCGTAAAAATTGAAACTAAAGCAATCGAAAACCAATGAGACAACTATCATTTTCTTTACTTCGTTCGGTACTATATATTCAATGGTTAATATATCAATTTATGTTGCAGTTTATTGGTCTGCAAGTATTCAAACTCTCTCTCTCTCTCTCTCTCTCTCTCTCTTCTGGGATGTCATGTTTAATTTCTTTCTTATCTCTAGAGGTAACATTTTAACCCATTACCTCTTAATCCGTCCGACCCACCCATAAATAAATAAATTTGGTACTTATATTAATTAATGTGGGGTTCAAATGGGTTGGATAATAACACCCATTTTAATTAAAGAGGT